GGGGAGCGGGGCGCGAGGGGCGGGTAGGAAGAGGAGGCGGAGGGAGAGGGGTGAAATCAGAAGGTGACTCAACGGACGGCGCCGCAAATGATGTGCGCAGAGGCCGTGCGCGGCCAACGCGTCGCGCACTGCCGCGCACTGCCGTGCAACGCCGCGCAAAGCGCCCTTCCCCCACCCCCTTGTGCCCCAGGAACTTCCGCGCCTGCGTGCGTGCACACCAGACAGCCCTGGCAGCCCAGCGTGCACTGTGGGCCACCCTGCTTCACGACACCCTCAGCTTCGACACCCTCAGGGGGTCATTCGCCACCATGCAGAAGGCGGAGGCGCAGGCCGCGCGGGTGTATCGGAGGTGCGGGTCGGGCGACGGGGCTTTGCTCCGCTTCTGATGCGTTGCGCTGCAGACTCTGCCGGACCTGAAGGGGTGGCCCTGGTGCTGCAAAACTTGTGTCCGCGGGGCGTCGTGTGGGGCTTTGCCGGGATAAAGAGAACATGTGTGTCGACATATTCCCCCTCCACTCAACCCCACGCGAGTGCTCACCCATGCACACTTGCACGCACATGAACACGCGCACACAAACGCGCACACAAATGCACATACCCACACGCACGCACACATGTACACACACACACATATACACACACGCACACACACACACACAGACACACACACACACACCCACACACACGCGCGCGCGCACGCCCACACACACACACGCACACACGCACGCACGCACGCACACACACAACACACACAACACAAACACGCACGCACGCACGAATGCACGCCGCCGGCGAGCAGGGTGCTGGACCGCTATCCCTCCAACGGCCGCATCCTGCGCGCCTATGGCCGCTTCCTGGAGTGGGTGCAGAACGAGCCCTCGAGGGCCCAGAGGTACTACCAGGTGGGCTGGGGGTTGAGTGTTGACCGGAATCAGGGTCCTGGGATGGCGCGCTTCGCGGCGGGGGTGAGCGAGTAAGGGGGTGAGGGAAGCTGTTGCGAGATGAGAAGGATGAGGCACGGCTGCGAGGTGTTGCTAAGGCCTGATGAGCGCGCCTGCTATCCTGCGAGGAGCGCCGCTGCCGGGGCCGCCGGCGTCCCGCTAGTCTGTGCTTTGATTACAACCAGGCGGCGCCGGCATAGTTGCAATCGGGCGCCTGCAATCGGGCGTTCTTGCAGGAAGCCTCCAAGAACGGGGTGCAGGACAGCCTGCTCGAGCTGATTGGTGGCGGCGCGGCGGCTGACGGCACGGTGAGGGGCCGCGCTGCACGTCTGCCCGGCAGGCTGCTTGCTTGGCGTTCACACCGTACGTTCACATGCAGCAAGCATAAGTGTCTTGCAACAAGTGGAAGGTCGCATGCCGTCAAGGCAGCAGCTAAAACTTCAAGGAGGCATCTTTGTTGTTGCTGCCTCCTCGCAGCACCTGGCCGTTGAGCAGACTCCCGCCATCCCGCTCGCTGCCAAAAACCTGTGTATGCACCTGCCTGGCCCCGCAGTCCGGCATGGGTGCGGTCGACGAGAAGACGGACGGCATCTGCGTCATCAACAGCGGCGGCATCATCCTGGCAGGCAAGCAGGCGCCACCTGAGAGCCACGCAACATCTGGGCCGCGACTGGGCCCCCCCGGCGCTTGCCAGGGCCAGGGGCTGCCGCTGTGATTCGGCCTCAGCAGTGGCAGCGTTTGGACACGCCTGCATGCGGCACATCACTCTACGGCAGCTGACTTTGCCCTCCATGGAGCCCAAGCTTTGCACCTGCAACCCGTCATTCCCCCACCTGACCCCACCCCCAGTGAACAAGGCATTCCACACCACCCTGTGCTACGCCAAGGGCGAGATGGAGGGCAAAAACATATCCATCATCATGTGCGCGCCGCCTGCGACCCTCAAACCGTTGGTTGAGCAACTGGGAAACCTCAGAGCCGCGGACCCAAACTGTCTATTGCACACCACCAGCTCGTCTGGCGCTCCCACACAGTCACGTCCGTCTGAGCCCTTGCCGACCAATTCAGGCCCGGCTCCTTGCCC